AGTAGACTCAATTTGCACTATTTCTGGCAGTCTGCAAAGGCCCCCAGTGGATTTTATGGCTGAGCTGGGAATCGAACCCTGGTCTCCAGAGTCATAGTCCAGCTTTCAAACCATTTTGCCACGCTGACTCTCCAAGGAATGCTGCAGTCCAAAATTTTTGGAGAGTCATGCATTCCTATATATATATATATATATATATATATATATATATATATATGCCAACACATCAGCTTCAGCTACCCTATGAATAAGAGACCTCAAGAAGACACTCTCTTTCCCCTGTTCCATATCAAAAGCTCTATATTAAGGAGTTAAACTGAAGTGTTTACTGCTGTAGAGTTAGGATCTAGTCCACAGTATCAGGGTCAGTAAGCAGTCAGAATGTACATCATCCGTCACAAGGTGGACTTAAAATCAATCACTCTCTCCTTGCCCTCTTGGATCGAGAAAGAGTTCCATGTCTTAATGAACCTGAAAGAGCTCAACATAAGGTTGGGCATACCTAAAATACACAAGAAGAAAGAGCTGTGATATCCCATCTAGGTGCACATGCTGTTCCATTACCCAGTTTATCCTCTTTCCCTTAAGGACTAGAAACATGTGTTTGAGTAACCAAATCACATCCTTTGTTTAATGCATTTGGTTTGGCTTGTTCTGCTTTGTGCATAATTATGTAAATTATTATTATTATTTATTATTATTATTATTTCTTTGTATCCCGCCTCTGTAAAATACAACCTGTAAAATACAAACGGGGCAGCTTACACAATAAAATGAACAACCCTATCCCCCAATAGCCCACCCCCTCTAAAACACAATTAAACAATCAAAGTTTTAAAGCATACTTAACAACAACAAACCACATTAAATGACAAATAAACTAAAATATCTGGGTACAAGTTTAAAGCAGGATAAGCAGGGTACAAATTTAACAGAAATATATTTATTCAAGTAAAAAAAATTCTTCTTCTTCTTCTTCTCATTTTAGCATAGCAGCAGGAATGAGAACTAATCCAAAATTTTCAGAGAAGATTCATGGGTAGCCATTTCAGACCAGAAAATTAAGAAAATTGCACTCTTTGAGAATTATCTTACTGGATCTGACCTGGGGCTCAACTACCCCAATAATCTGTTTCTACCAGTTTCCATCCTCTAAAAGCATCCAAATGGTGCAAGCATTGATGGACATAATCCCTTATTCATTCCCAGCATCTGATATGCACTGTCCTTGAACACTGAAGGTCCGTTTTGCTCTAACGGTTCATAATCATCAAAAGACTAAAAAAACTATCCTGATTCTCTTTTTCAGCAAAAAAAGAAAGAGGACAGCCTGTTCAGTCTGTACATACTTTCAACCTTACATTGTCTAGATAAAAGGTCAAAAACTGGTAACTGGGCATCACCAGGGGAGACGAGAATCCCTTTCATACAAATCCTGCTTCTTGAAAGGAGGCAGGGGGATCCGTCCAATATTTATTAGCCAACGATGATTGGAAATAAAAATAGAAATGTTGCAATTATGAACAATATTGTTTCCAGATCGATAGGTTCCTCACCCTGCCCCACTTTGACCGTAAATCTCACAACAGCCCTCCAACCGGATAGACATTTTCACTGCACTCTTCTCTTAAATTCCATCTGACGATATTAAAGGGGTCATTGGCATATTAAGGAGCAAATTTGCATCTCCTCCATCGCACAGCCACTTCGTCCCACAACCTAATTATTCTTCGTTTGGTCAATAAGACATTAGCATGCAACCGTGGATGTTCGTAACATCTTTGGGAGAAAAGTCACCATAACTTAGAAGATCAGCCTTGGTTGGAGAAAGCAATGAATAATTCATTTCGCTACAGGTTTGTTCTTTTACACGCACACATACCTCTTTGGTCAGAAAAAGAGCGACTGTGAATTTTTCTGGGGGAACAAATAAGCAAGCCCATAGTGGTTGCGTTTAATGTGGAGCTAATAAAAATTTACTTCAACTCCTATAGCTAATAAATCCAAAGGGCGTATGAGGGAGTCCAGTAAAACCTGACTTAACATTATGTTGGTGCTATTAACAATATTTATATATATGTCATTTCGCAGGAGGTTAAAACTGGTAAATTATGAGGGAAGCAGGTGGGTGGGTGTGGATGGAGGAAGGATCAGAGAGCCAGCATTTGTGACTATGCTCCATCTTTACAATATAGGTGACCAAATATCTGTACCATTCTCACTCCGACAAGAATGGAAGGCAGCAGATAGGAATGACGCTTCTCGGAGATCAGAAGTGATATGGTTTTTAGAGCCAGTATGGTGTAGTGGTTTGAGCATTGGACTATGACTCTGGAGGCCAAGGTTCGAATCTCCACTCAGTCATGAAACCCATTGGTGACCTTGGGCAAGTCACACTATCTCAGCCTCAGGGAAGACAATGGCAAGTTTCTTCAAACTTGCCAAGAAAACCTTGTGATAGGGTCATCATAGGTCAGAAAGGACTTGAAGACACACAACAACAAAGTTTGAACTCTGGAGAAAAAGAAATATTCAAAGCTTTGATAATCTATATACACTTGCCTGGGCATCCTAGTCTTTCCCCTCATTTACCACTCATGCATGTTCCTAAAAATTCAATTAATTCCACAACTGATAGAAACCTCAAAATAGCAAAAGATATGTCAACAGGAGGGAGATACCCAAAACCTGCTAATATATACTCACAACAGGTATAGGGAGAAAGGAATACAAAAGGTAGATTTTCATTCACAGTCAGCATATCCTCCAATTGTCCCAATTTAGCAGGGACAGACCCAATTAATCTTCTGGTGTCCCACTTTTTCAGCTGCTTTTAAAATGTCCCAGTTTCTCCCAACACTTCCTCTTTTGTCCTCAGCTCACTTCAATTGCTGAAAACCAGATTCAAAGGACAAATCGTTTGCATTCAACTAACTTATGAGGAGAGAAAGAACCTTGCCCTTCACAGTATACTCAGGCAAAAACAAACTGCTGCATCCTCTCCTAATTTCCATGTCCTTCATCATCCATTCATTTTTACCATCTTGACCACATTCAGATGTTGCTTGGCCACACTTGTGTGCCAGCTGTCATGCCTGAAATGTTGGAGGGTATAAAACAGTATGGCCAAAAGGAAAGAAAGGGGGAAAGAAGGAAGGAAGGAAATCAATAGTTTCTTTTTTCAATACAGCATTTTATCCCTTTAGCATCCCATAAAATTTTTTATACACACTAGCAGGCAGAAAGAACGGGGAAAAAGAGTTCAGAAGCAGATGTAAAAGATGCTAGCAAAGAGGGGGAGGCGTTGAGGATCCACAACTAAATTACCAACTTGAGGTGGCTTTTGGCACACTGGAACAAGCTGTCGAGGTGGGTGGAGGGGGAGAAATGTTATTGATGAGTTTTTATTGATTTACCATCACTCCCAGTGTGGGCATTTTCTGGTCTATTATACCAGAGTCACAGCATATTCCCCTCACAACACTAAAGAGGAAATATGGACAGCCTGACCTTGGCAATATGGAGATAATGAAATTCTCCTAATGATTCTTCCAAGAGGCTTTTACAAGCCAGCTCTGGATGCCATCTAGTGCAGGGCTATGCTAATTTGGAAAATCCCTCTTTGGCCTTTTCTTAACTCAAAGTTTGCTGTTTAAACCCTCCGCCCAATGCTCCTGACATCAAAACCTTCTCCTCTTCTTTTGCAAAGTTATTTTTATTTATATCCCACCTTTCCCCCCAAGAACGGGGCTTAAGGCAGCTGGCGACAGAGTCAAAACAAGAGAGATTGAAAACTACGCGAAAAGGCTAAATGAAAACAGTTCATTTCAGAGACGGCTGAACGCATTTATAAAATCAAACTCTCTCAAATTCATTAAAAGCGAGAAACCACAAAACGGCACTTGTCGTTGCGTGCCTTCAAGTCATTCCCAACTTATGGTGCATTTTCTTGGCACACTTCTTCAGTGGGGGTTTGCCATCGCCATCCAAGCTGGGATTTGAACCCTGGTCTCCAGAGTTGTACTCCAACACTCAAACCATTACACAGGGCTGGCTCTCCAACTGGTCTTCATCTTTCTTAAAATGAGGCACCCAGAAATGAAGGAGACCATAGCATTATGTTATAATGTGGCTTACCTGAGCCAGCTTAAAATTAAATGTGGGTTGCATCCTGATAGTATCAGATGCATTTAGCTGCCAAAATCCGCACCTGGGTGCAGCCCGGCTCCGTCGTCGCTCCAAGGGACGCTCCTCACACCTCTTTTCGAAGCCAGGAGTTTTCCAGCTTGAAAAAAGAAGTGGCGATGGACCCGGGCTGCACCAGTTTTGGCGTCTAAACACATCTGATACAATCAGGATGCCAGCCACTTCTAATTTTAAGCCAGTTCAGGTAAGCTGCATTATAAAATAATGCGATGATCTTCGATTACTCCAAATGAGGTCTGACCCAGTGTTGCACGCCTGAACCCGGATGCCAAATGAAGACTTGAATACACAACCAAATATGTATGTGGGTGTGTGTACCCAGGTTCAATGCACAATATGCATCAACACATGATAGCACCAACACGTGCAACTCTGCTTCCAAAAACATGGACTAATTTTGTCCACATTGGACAAAAATACCCAATGGTTTTCTCGGAGGAACTTGAGAGACATGAAAGGCACCAACAGAGTTCTAAAGGTACTTACCTATATGGACCAAACCCAGTAAGGCTTACTCTCGAGAAAGCACAATGACACAGACAGTGCCACGTTCGAGTATTTAGACATTTCAAGAGGAAGCAATTAAGTCAGTAACAATAGCATTAAATCAGGCCCAGAACCTAAAGCACGAGCTGAAGCCAAGAGTTGTTAATACCTTTATTATGGGCTCCAATGTATTCATGATATTAAAGATATCACATTTTCTGCCCCGGTGTCACGTTTGAGATGTAGCGTAGATAAATGATATATCACTGGAAGAGATCTACAAAAACCATTAGTAACCATGACATTTTGACGTCAGATTTTTAAAAATTCCTAAGTAATCTTTTTGATTTATGAAATGGTGTCCAGGTTCATCGAGAATGATCTCAGATTTATCACAGCCTGGTTAGAATTATTAATGATTTTCAATTTGTAAATC